AGAATGGTATTTTATCAGAATAGTATTCTGATGGAACGGTAATTCAATTAAACCGGATTGTAAACAAAAGACAATTCATCAGAACCATATTTTGTCGCGACATAAATGTGTCCTAATTGTGTTTTGCCAGAACGGTAATCTATCACTTCCGTAAATCATCATGATGATAAATAATCGGAACCGTTATTTGTCCAAATTGGATTTTCTCAGAACTGTATTCGTACTTTACTCACATGTTAAGCAATCAGGTAGCTAAATGAGGGAATGTTCTTTATAGTAACTTAAAACAACATACCGTAGTTTATAGAAGTGGTGATTATCATAATCGCATTTCACCAGAATGGTATTTTATCAGAATAGTTTTCTGATGGAACGGCAATTTAATAAAACCGGATTGTAAACGAAAGACAATCCATCAGAACCGTATTTTGTCGCGACAGTAATCTGTCATAATCGTAATTCGTCAGAACGGTAATCTTTCATCACTGTAAATCATCACTATAATAAGTAATCAGAACCGTTATTTGTCGAGATTGGATTTTCACAGAACTGTATTCGTACTTTACTCAAATGTTAATTAGGTTTGAAGAAATAGAGAGAAAAAAATTTTCGAACTGGATTCGAAATTGACATGGATTGAGTAACTTGACTTATGCTTTCTCTTCCTGCTCCATTCATTGAATCATCAACTGATCATTGCATGAAGGAGAAATGAGTATACCTACTCAAATTATTTCAATGAACAGCATCGATTCAATCGAAACCATGATCAGAAAGTGAAAAATGAGAGTTTCAATTTCCTGTGTCCGTACATGCATTTCCAATCACGCAGATTCCATTTCCCTAGTGGAGCGAATCACTTTTAATTCAGAAGTAATGATTCCTGGTAGGTAATACCAATTGTTTCTCGTTGCTTACTAATGATGATTGCAAATTTCGCCTGTTGGTCTGTTTGTAGCCCCGCGTGCATAGATCCTAACGAGTAGTTGCGTCAGTCATCAACGTTCAAACAAATTTTACCTGTTGGTCTCTTTGTAGCCCCCCGAGCATAGATCCTAACGAGTAGTTGCACCAGTCATCAACGTCAAAACATTCAATTTTTCGACGAATTTCGATGACTCAATCGACTTTTATTCTCTCTTTGGTTCAAGGAAGCAAGGCAAATTCTAGGTCATCTCCATACAGTTTAATGACGTTGTACAATCAGGGGCATGTTTCGGTCTCAGAAAAGACCATTTTCAGCCTAATTAGAAGTTTTGAAGTTGAAAAAGTTTTATAGAGTGAAGTAGATATGCCTGCCGATGTCCATAGTCACAAGCATATACATTTTTCCAATTCATTATTGCTGTTTGAAAGTTTACAACAAATAGGTGTATGTTGTAAGGTCACATTGGTCCATACCTCCTCCTAATGAAGATAAAAACAAATTTAATATAAAAGTTATTTGGTTTGAATTTGAACTTTTTTGAAATATTTTGATAATGCGTTGTTGTCAGTTCCGTCCCTTTTTAACCTTCTTCCTGGCTTGTGGCATATTCTTATGGTGAAAAGAGAAATTCATTCCGCTTCAAAAACACAGATTGACAATTTTAAAGACTGAGAAATACGATATACCTATTATATGCATATGAACTGTTGGAAATTCGAATTGAATAATTCAAATTTCTAGACGCATTTTGATCGAAGACCACGACTATCAAGACGAATACCAAGACCAAGACTACATTCATTTTTCGAGACCAAGACCAAGACTGAATAGTCTTGGTCTTGGTCTTAGTCTCCCGAAGCCATATATCATACACCAGAAAACATACATTTCTGAAACAACGGATTATAATGACAGCACAAACTATTGGATAAAAGAAGAATCAAATTAATGATGAGGCAAACAGCCAACACGTGTTTTGAATGGAGAGTGGAGATGTCTTAGAGCTTCCATTCCTTCCTCTCTGATAAATCTACTTAATTTTGAACAATATGGATTTCCACCAAAGATTTCTCTTTAGTTTCTGAATATTTAGTTCATTGACTATCGAACCTATCAAATTGATCATCGCATCTATTCAGAATGAGATCCTACAGGATGTTAATCAAAGCTGTGCAAATTGTCAAAAATGTCAAGGGTCTCCATTTTGAGAGAAAAAATTTTCAATTTTTTTAGAGGTGTGAAATATCTGTTTTTTCGGAACCGTTTCGGTATTTCTAGAATCGTGATACTCATTACTGAATGATGAATATTTTGGTTCTGGTTCAAACGGTAACCGAAAATCTAGAAAAGATGCATAATCAACATATCTATTGATAGAAGGTGGCCCTTAAAAAACAGTTTTGTCGATAGAATGGAAAATGTATTGAAAACACGTGCTAATTGGATATTGTTGAATGGCATTGTCAATCATTTGGGCTCTGCTAACATTTTGATCACTTCTCTGTATTCATTGTTTTATGATTTAACAGTAGCAAATCACTGATGGGGACCGTTTTTTGGATAATGTACGATGTAAACTTCTCAGCTTTACTCAATCGTGTTTATTTTGGAATGCATTCCAACTCCAACTTCAAACTTCCTGATGAAACTTTCGACCACATTTCTTTGTTTTCTGAGGAAACTTAACCGATAGTTTCGATGCCTAACCAAACTTTCACAACTTTTGCACTAGATTTCACGTCACCGCACGATAAAATTACTTTTCCACCCATAAACTCACATAATTACGGCCTTAAAGTTGAAAGCCAGACTTCCATCTCAATCTGAGTACACTAACTCCACAATAATACTTATATCAAACTTCAATAGCACAGTGCTATTCATTTCAGTAAAAAAAAGTCGATAAATAAAAATACAGAAGATATTCAAGATAAGGTTAATTTACAAACTCCTTCTTCCATTGATTATTCAATCTTTTTCTTTCTCCTTTTACAACCCAAAATCGCTCTCATTGCAAGATTTCGTACTTGAAAATCTCAGGATCAAGGATTGACTCTTTGCACTTTTCAGATCTCAACTTTCCATATATACAGGGTGTCACTGAAAAGTCTTTACAAAAACTTACCACATATTCCTCAGACCAAAACATATCGATACAAGCAAACTTACCTCAGTACAAAATTGTTTAGTTTGGACGCTAGACAAATCGTGTTTGCTTCATAACTTCGGAACGGCTATGGAGATTTCACTCAAATTTGGTACGTTGTAATAGCTTCATTGGGCAATAAAACCCATAAGATGATTATGATGAATAGAATAAATAAACATCCCAAACATCTTCGCCAATGGGGAGAAAAGGGTTCTAATATGAATGAATATGATTTCGTAACTCATTTACTACGAATAAGGTAGGTAAGTAGGTATACTCTTGATATAATTCAATTACTCACATGGTTTCGAAAAAATTTCAGTAATTCAGAGCATCAGTCAGCACCAAAACGATTAAGAGATATTTCATAATTTCAAAACGACTTAACGTCTTGAGTCAAATTTCAAAATGAAATAATATTAAATATCTTTCCCATTTGATTTCAACTTTCTGAAAGGCACTGTACATATTATGATTATCTCGAAGTCAAAAAACCTTTTTCTACCACTAACCTGGGAAATCACCATTATTCGAGGTTTTATTCCTCTAATGAGAAGTAATACTTTTCAAACCTAGGCAAACAATGATGAATTAATAATAGTTATTTATTATACAAGGGAAAAAAGTAGTAGATTTTAGCTCCAGGTTGTGTTTTATACTTATAAAAATCACCGTTGCTCTTTTATCCTACTGAAATTTGTTAATCAAATCAATTTTGAATTTACAACTGTTGTCTTTTCCATTTCAATTTCTTCTTTATATAAAATCATGTTTGGTTTCTATTGTAGATACACTTTGTTGCTAATTTGACTGAAGATGGCCATTTGAATGGCTGAAACATGTATCAACCTCATTGAAGCAGGATTGACTGCCTCCTTAGACATTGAAATTGTGATGGAGGCGACTTTGAGTTTTCTTTCTATTATATACCTTGGGTGAGAATGCTATTATATAGCTTGTACATTATATCATATAAAAAGTACTTGCTGATCTTGCTATATTATAGCTCACTTCTCACCATAGGTGTAAAATATACTATTTCATGTGTGAACCACTGATTTTCGCAGAATATGTTGTGAAGTAATGAAATGCAAATTGGATTATATTGTCGGAAATGTTTCGGCACTCTCGATCCTGTTCAAATACGCCTGTAGATTGTTGACTGGCGTGGAAGTTTTCACAAGGTACTAACATATTCAACGTTTGGCCCTAGGAAACATTATGTAAACTGAAAAGGGATGCGTGCGGTATATGTTGACGCGAAAGTTTGTCCAACTAATTATCTCATTGGTTGCTTGGGACAGACATGAAGCTGATGATATACTTCAAGTAGAAACCAGGATAGATCAGCTGTAGATGTCAAGCAACGACCGAATTGGGAAATTTGAATAATGTGTTCTTTGAATCATTTTTTAATATTCTTACGTCTTTGCCCAATATATTTTTTTACGTTGACTAGGTAATTTGATGAATCCATAAGCTTCCGTTCTGAGAACACATGTACTACATGGTGATCTAGAGCGTGGTGTTTGAATGAACATGTCGGCGACCTTTCACTTTTCTATCGATACTTCCACGGGAAATGTTATTCGGAAATCTCTGCTATCATCCCTTCACTAGCAATACCAGTCAGACGAACTAGACAAGCCCAGTCAGCATACTTTCGTTGTCAACCTCGGAAGATGTCGAACAGCACTTTATCAAAACTCCTTCATCCATAGAACGGCTAGGCTCTGGAATTCACTGCCTGAGGAAGTATTCCCAACAACATATTATAATCTCCAGAAGTTCAAAAAAAATTCCAATATCTACCTCCTGTCCCTATCCTCCCTAGAAACGCACGTTGTTCTTTGAACATTATAGGAATTCCTTTCGTGCGCTCCAAGCGATAAAAAAAAATTAGGTAGGTGTTATTTCTCTTACCGGTATTCTGCTGGAACTGGTCACCCATATCCAAGAATCTCCTCCTGGGGCGGCTCCCTTGTTTCCCGTTTTTCTCATGATCTCCTCGTCTTTCTCCTCTAAGCTACCCCTCATCTTGGGGTTGAAAAACTCCACTTGTGGCTCTTCTGCCTGGGCTTCTAAATAATTGTACTGTAACCTGCGAAGATTGAAAAAAATACATCAGAAGACATCAAATCAATAATGATAAGTGGATGAGATATGATTGGGATATATTACCAAGTTGGTTTCTATGAATTTATACAATTTCAATATCCTGGATTATATTTGTTAACTTCGAGAGGTATGTGACATGAATTTTTATGAAGCATTTGGAACTTCTCCTTTTATAGCCCACTATTAAATAGGTCCACAGCTTTTGTAGTCAATAAATAGTGCTGAATATTGGTAAATGTTGAACTAACTATAGTGTGTGACGAAAATCTGTGTCACCAACAAGGTAAATATAAAAATTTGCGATGTTGAAGATTTTGCCACATATATACAACGCCTATTTGTGAGAGCCCTACTGAAAAAACTTTTTTCTGTGACGGGACAAAAGTTTGACATTTCATCTCTTTTGACAGGTTCTATAAAATATCACTTTTCGAAAATTCCTTGTTTCCTACGAGATTGCTTTTGTTGTGATAGAGTTCCGAAAAATAATCCAATAAAACCGTCTCCCAGAAAGAACTCCGCAAGTCCTTTTATCTCCTCGGTTACGTAAATTACGAAACAACCACTAATTTCGCAATTTTGCGAAATAAAATCTGATTTGATTACTTCAAAAGAATGACAAAGATGCCTACTAAAAAAATGCCTACAATAAGGCTACAATGCAGATGTAATTCCAGTTAAAATCTTCAAATTCCGCGTCAATAGCTTTCTGATTTGAAAATAAAGTAATGTCTTTTCAATAGTCATTCCTCCTTCTCGCTGTCAAAAAAAATAGTGTATTATACACGGGAAAAATATCAGAATTCAGCTCACGGGTTTTTGTAAATAGCTATTAAATTATCTAAGTACAGGGCAAATATTCATGATATCGTAGGAGTGTAAAGTATTTTTGAGAAGATCAAATCATTTCTGTTTTGAATATCAAAAAATATTCAGATTGTTCCATTTGAAAAACATGCCAGTTTTTAATTCTCCTATGAGTTGAAAGATAGCTGAGATACAAGGGTGGGGACCTCGAATAATTTTCCTAAATATCACTTCAACATAACAAATAAAAACAATCATCTTCTTAAATTCGTGTTTCTATATATGTGGAAAATTCTTTCCATAATTAAAAGTACGTGTTTCCATCAGTCAAAATCTGTTCAGAAATGAAAATCCGTGTTGAAATGAACAAATTAATGAATCGGTAGTAGATATTAAATTTACGTATTCGTATATAAGTATACAGTATGTCTGAAGAAGTTGGAAACAAATGAAAAACTTTTTATTTTCAATTTAGGGAAATATACCCAAGTCTTTCCTCACAAATAATTCTGCAAGGCCAAAAATCGAGAATTCAAATATCAAATATCGATTTTATTTCATTAGTAGGTTATCATCACTACGAGTTATGTCGAAAAATATCAACTTTGCTCAAAAGTGTAAAGTTGACTAGAATTGAAAACTACGTTCAAATATCTGATTACATTCATCTACGATAAAAATGAGGTTCTATTATTTCTTTTTACGATTTATCTGAGATCGATTTATATGAAAAACTTTTCTATCATTAGATAATTAAAAAAATATATATTCTCCATGAAAAATTCTACAAGGCCCAAAAACCTAAAATGCAAATATCAGACATCAATGTTTTTCAGTAGTATACGAGGTATGTCAAAAAATGTGAATTCTGCTCAAGAGTAGATAATTAATAAAACCTTATTTTCATAGTAGATGTAGATTGTACTCAACTATTCTCAATAATAATTTTCAATATTGTCAAAAATGGTGGTGCTTTTACATTCAATCAGCAATATTAATATCACAGAAAAAACTGGTACCTGATAATTCGGCTTTAGGTTTTATACAGAATCTTTCAGAGGAATTATTTTCTTATCAAAAATTGATAATTAATCAGTTTTCCAATTCATTTCAACTTTTTCATACATACTATATATATACGGGAGTAAAAAATTACTATCAAGTCTAACCTATGCTTCACACTCCTCTTTTGCCTCAAACTACTCAACGTATGATTCTGCTGACCAACATCGAAATCTTTCAGGATCCTCCTGATCTCCTCCCGGAAATTAGGGCTCCTGATCTCGTTGAAAAAAAAATTATTGAACCCGCTCTTCCCCACATAGTCCTCCCGTATTTCTGATTTTATCAGCCTATAGATATAGTGGGCCAAGAAAATTTCCGTGAGAAAAATGAAAAACACGCAGCAAACTACTCGAACTGTATAACTCGGGTTGATTTGGTGCAGGGGCAGTTTCGGAAAATTCCCCGTCCCAGGACCGGTTTGATCCTTGCTGTCAGTTGCGGACATTTTCGAATTTTCCGAATTTTCCGAATTTTCCGAGTTTTCCGGGAGAGTTTTCACTCACATGGCGTGTGGCGAATGGCGGAAAAGTCGCGTGCTCTCTACGCGAAGGTCGGTGGAAAACTGAGGGAAATTGTGTCCTGTTTACTATGGAAGAATTTGGTGGAAGCGTTAGCAATTGTACCGGGACCATTCAATAATTAGTGAAACTGATGGTAATACACACATGATGTCCGGAGAGGTCATGTCGTAAATGATATGACTGATAGGAAAAGCCAAAATAATGTTAGTACTTTATATAGAAAAATGTCTATCGCTCTTCGTTACCGAGTTATTGACCTAGAAATTTTCTGCAAGTCCACCATGGTGTTTCCAAAGTTTTAAGTACTGTCAAGATGATTCGATGTCATTTTTTTATTTTTTCATTAATATTCACGGAAATATCCATTACAACACTGTACAAGTAGAGTCTTAAAGCAATAAATAATAATTGCAGTCTTTAAGATATACCTACAAATGCTAACTCACTAGAAGGACATTAACACTCCTACTTCAAAACAGTGGTTCTACAAATATAAGAAAGAAAAAATAGTTATTCTCAATAATGAGCATAGGGATGGATAATCGTAGTCATAGTTGCTAACCTGAATTCCTAGTTTATACGCTGAAGCTCTTAAGAATTTGTGTTGGACTGTTTCTAGCATGTTGATGTAAGTCTGATTCTTCAAATTTGAACTGACAAAAGCGCAGTAGAAGTTGATTGAGAGATCTCTGGATACCCTCTTGATGTATGTAACCAAGCATCTCGCGTGCTTTCAGGGATGTCATTATTATGTACTGTGAAAAAGATAGTCTGTCATCCAATAATACCCAAATATCTTTTCTTCGAGTTGAAGTTACTCTACCGAGGTCAATTGAGTTAATGGAGTTTGTATAGTCTATAGATGTCTGACATCTGTTGAAATTTACGAAGAAGCATTCATTAAGTTTCAAATCCATTCCGCCACACCAATGAACAAGGATTTTAGTATCAGACTGTAGCTCTAGGCAATTGATTTCCTTATCAATAACTTTGAAAATTCTCATGTCATTCGCAAATAGTAGAATTTTAGAGTACTCCATATTGAGAGTAATGTCATTTACAAATAAGTTAAATAGTAGAGGACCACAGTGACTTCCTTAAGGCACCCCAGAGTTAACTTCTATAATATCTGAAAAGTAATTGCCTCTTTTAACCCACTGGTACCGAAGCTTTGGAGCCAGTTCAGCAGGTTACCCGAGATACTGTATGCGTTCAACTGTGTTGCCAGTAGTTCATGATTTACCCTATTTCGATAGGGCATTCGTGCTTTCGAGAAATCTGTGTAGATGGAGTGAACTTGATACCCTTTCTCGAAAGCATTCAAGATTGTATTTTGAAAAGATAGTAAGCTGGTTACAATGGATCTTTCCTTGCTGAATCCATGATGCTGATCACTAATCAAAATTTTGGAGGTGATTTATAACTCATGAGTCCAGCTTTTTAGGCATGACATGACTGCAGCTACTATGATAAAATAGTTATTTTTGTATCTAGAGCGCGAAATGCTACTTTGGTGATCGAGATCCGATTTTTTTTACGAGGCGTAGCCGAGTTAAAAAAATAGTCGAGATGACCAAAGTATTTCGCGCTCGAGTTGCAAACAAATTTTTTTCTACAAACGTCAAAAAATATAGTTCTAAAGTAAAAATATGCCTAGCTTGATATGGAAAATAGTGTTGAACTGGCTTAAAAAGCCTCCCACTATCCTTCCTCGGTACGCACGATGGTCCACGAGCATAATAGGGATTTTCTTTCGTGCGATCCAAGAGATAAAACAAAGTTATTGGTGAACATTCAGAAAACAATGATTTTGTGAATGTTTGCTTGATTGGGGACCATAAAGTTGAAATATAAATATCTCATATATTTTACATAACAGTGCGCGAAGTAGGTACTTCGCGCACTGTTTTACTTCGCGCATTGTTATGTGCAAGGTATCATGGTAACGTAGGAAACTGAAAAAAAGTGTCACTTCGCAATTTGTTATCAATGCGCGAACCTTGTCATTTTTTGACGTTTGTAGAAAAAGGGTTTTTATTACCTACCTTTGAAACGGTTGGAATGTACCCATGTTTTTCAAATGCGATTTTCTCTAGAACGGTACAAGATATCGATAAAAATAAAGTATACTATTTTTGTAGAAAAAAAAAGAAGGAATCAAACGGTGGAAGCAAAATGAAAAATTTGTTACCTCTGTTAAAAATTTCTCCACTAAATGGAAAAAAAAATGTCCATCCTATATACATATTCACTGAACAGCCGATTTTATATCGAAAGGAGCATGAGTATGAGTTAATTTAGTCACTGAGTTTATTAAAAATTTCACTATTAGAAGGCCTGAATGATAAAGTAAATCGATACCTTGTACCTACACCTTAAAATAAAAAGGAATATAATACTTCAATTGCAGCAAGCCATGCGAATAAAGATGAAAAAGTGTTGTTGAGGGATCGAATAATTATTGGGCAATACTCATAGCTACAACAAAACAAATCCAATTTTCGATTAATTATTAGTTCGAGGTTCTGTTTCGTATTCGATGGTAACACGAAAACAATGGAGTTTTTTCATTAATATTTGATTCTATGTTCAAATTGGGACCGTATCGATTAAAATAAATTTGAATTTCAATCATTGTGCAATGTGCAAACAAAAAAGGACATCAACATGTTCGACCTAATTCAATTGATATTAAAAATGGAAGTTCTATATTTAGTGAGAATATTGAAACAGAATTAATAATAGTCATATGGTCCATCAGTTAGCACATCCTCTCTTCGTCAACCTCGATATATGCCGAACAACTCTGTACCAGGAATGTGCTTATGTATATTATGATCGACAAGCTTTGGAATTATTTGCCAAAGGAAGTAAAAAACTCATTATCTACATATTAATCTATATTTTTTCTTGTACCTAAAGTAAATAGTAAATAAAAAGTTGAGATAGGGACATGTGACCCGTTTGGCCGATAATGAATAGTTTCGGCACAAACAAATCCTGAAGTTTTTACCAGGGAAACATCTTAGCATACATAAAAAATTTTCTAGACAGCAGGAAATTTCAGGTTAGAGTGAATGGAACAATGTCCGAACTGAAGAATCAAGATAATGGAACTCCGCAAGGCTCAATCATAAGTCCCACGCTTTTTCTGATTGGCATCAACGACGTCCTGAAATCTGTGCAAAAACCAGTCCAGGCAAGACTTTACGCTGACGATCTCATCTTATACATGAAGGGCAAAAACTTAGAGACTATTGCAAGCACATTACGCACCCACCTACTTGGTCTTGAACAATGGTCGAAGTCCTCTGGCTTCAAATTTTCGCCAGAAAAAACTAAATGTATAATCTTTTCGAAAAAACCTACAGAATATCAGCCGCAAATGCTCTTATACAACATAAATCTCACATACACAACGGAAATAAAGTTTTTAGGAGTCCTATTTGACCAAAAACTAAACTGGAAGTCACACATCAAACAACTTGCCCTAACTTGTCAGAAAGGCTTGAATCTACTGAAACACCTAACTAATAAAAATTGGGGTGCAGATGGACATACACTCCTACTCATATACCGATCACTCATCAGATCTAAAATCGATTACGGCTGCATAGCATACTCGTCCGCAAAACCAGCAGTACTCAAAACACTGGATACTATCCACAACTCCGCGCTTAGACTTATCCTAGGAGCCTACCGAACTACCCCAGTGGAAAGCTTATACTGTGAAAGTGGTGAGCCCTCATTAGCCTATCGAAGACAGTTTTTGAGCCTTTCTTATGCCTCGAGAATATCATCCTTGAAATCAATACCCGTGATTGAAAACACGATAACGAACCGCTTCATGAATGCATTTGACAGCCGTAGGTGCGATCCCCCATTTTACGAAAGGATCCGGCGATTGACGAGCATGCTCAACATACAAGAATTTCCCCCAGTATTTCCATCCGTATATAACACAACAGCTCCATGGAGTATTCAACGACCGACGGTCAACATTCAACTGACTCATTTCGATAAACAGAAGGATAACCATCTATTAATCAAGAATGAATTCAAGGAAAACTTAGACTTTTACCAGGACTATACAGAAATATACACGGATGCATCCAAAACAAATCAAGGTGTAGCAGGAGCTGTAATAACCCCCCAGAGAGTCCTCTCATTCAAATTACCAAAGTCAGCAACAATCCTAACTGGAGAACTACATGCGATTCTTGAAGCCTTGAAATATGTTGAAACATCCGAACAGAATAAATTTCTTATAATAACAGACTCCCTCAGCTCAATTCAATTACTTCAGAGAGTATACGTCGACCATCCAACAGCCAAAATAATACAAGAACACCTGCACAGATTACAATCGACCAATAAAAGTATCGTATTTTTCTGGGTACCTTCTCACTGCGGAATCCCAGGAAACGAAGCCGCTGATCAAAATGCAAGAGATGCCATAGATTCACCTGTCAATCAGACCACTGAACATAGAACAACAGCCTCAGATTTAAAAGCTTCATTCAAATCCAAACTAAGAAACAAATGGAATACCCAATGGCAAAACATCAATTCTAAACTGAAAGAAGTCAAACCAAACACGGGAAAGTGGGACAACTGGGCAAAAAATAGGAGACACCAAGTCATATTCAGCAGACTACGCCTCGGCCATACCAGACTTACACACGAGTACTTAATTACACGCCAACAGGAACCCAGATGCGACATATGTGACGTGAACCTATCTGTGAAGCACATCCTAGCTGAGTGTCCAATGCACGAACCAGAAAGAGTACTTCTCAACATACCACTGAACCTAAAGGACATATTGAGTTACAACTGTGATATCAATTTATTAATACATTTCCTAAATATCATACATATTAGTGACAAATTGTAAGAACACAAATGTACACGTATACTTTACTCATCCGCCGCTAATGACCTAACGGTTTATGCGGCTTATTTGAAATAAAAAAAAAAAAAAAAAAAAAAATCCTGAAGTTGAAAAATCTCGATTTTGAACACCCTATATCT